ATCACTATTCCACGCGAACGAAGTCGGGGGCAAAAGCTAGTACTAAACATTTTTGTATAATCTTTACGTAAACTGATATTAATATTTGTATGTAGTCAGTATAATTGCAAATAAACATTATTATTATTCGTAGGTATAGCTTCAAATTGACAAATCATTATTACATCATGATAAGACCTTAACAAAATAGATAAGTAATTAACATTTGAATAGAAAAATAATCAGATAAATGTATAATTATAAGTATCAACATCTAGTATGTTAATATATGATGACTATAGAATTCACGACTGCCGTATTTCAATTTATAAATGACGCAGGTATCTTATCTTTATTTATGACTTTTAAAAATACTTTGATTTAGATTTAAAATCCTTAGTTGCTCTGGCTAATCTCTAGACTCTACTATAAAGGGTCTCTGCTAAAACATATGATTTTTAATTTATTTCTTTGTTTCAGCTACTTCACTGGGTTCGATTTGAATTTGATTCTCAAAGCACCTAGTTGGGATAGATATTTTGCTTTTTTGAATGTTGATACAGTGGAACAGTTGCCTTAATTAAGATTAGCGTGGTGGTTGGACAACAGGCTGCTACGCATCTTCTCGCAAGAATCTCTTGGATTCCCGCACAAAACTCTTTGTGTGATCCAGAGTTTTTGTTACAGCTCTAAGTGTCATTTATATGTATGTAGACGCACCCACGGCCCTGGATATAAAAAATATAATGTACCGAAGCGTTTTTAATCCAAACCAATACTATAAATGCAAAAGTAAGTCTCTGCCTATCTGTTGTTTCGATTTCTGTGAAATTTGGGTACAAACATAGTGTAGAACTCGAGAAAGGACATAGAATAGTTTTATACCCAAAATCTGCAGGAAGTCATTTTTCCACGCGAACAGCGCGACTCTGTTCGCGTGGAAAAATGACTTCCTGCAAGAGCTAGAAAAAATAAAAATTCAAATCGGAATTGCTGCAGAAAATATTATCGAGCCACCGACAATTTTCTCGTTTATCCGCCACTTACGAAACGAAGAAACAATTCCAATTTACCGGCGACCTTCAGAGCGGATAACTCTTTGAGCAATTACTCTGAATCAAATGCAATTCTACCTCGTAGTGTAAATTAATCTCAAGGAAAAATGAACCTTGCGGTATGAGTGGATTACAGTAGATATTGTTCATGGTGCATTAACATAATTATCTAGACAATGTTCTGATTGTCCATGTCCAAACAATGGGGTTTGTTTGTTATGATATAACAATATGTTTTTATTTTTATATGTGATGGCTCTAGCTCGTGACTCAATCACACCTGTGTGGCGTTTTGACGACACATTTTAAACAACTTCAAGAATACTTGCGTGCAATTCTAGCGTCATTGCTTTTTAATCGTACGAACAGAAAACTCTCCGTATGTTTTTTATAATGTCTTTTTTTTATTATTTATTATAAATTTAGAGGCTTTTGGTCACAATACGACCACGCCAGCCCCATCATAACCTAATACAAGATTAACGCTATTCCGACTTCAAAACCTTACATACTATTTTGTAAAGTGAAATGCAGATTTTTGTATGTCCACTGCCACGGCACAAATTCATTTGTTCGCGATAAATGATAAATTAAAGCTTAGTGGCGTGCAATTGGAGAGGCCTATGTCCGGCAGTGGACGGAATCGGCCAGCGACAGCACTCGTTACTCCTTTGGTGTTGCAGGTCGCCATTGGCGCCATCGATTGCTAGCCAAGTAATAATTCATTTCGTTTGCCCCGATATGATATTAAAAAAATAGGCACCTAGGTCCCATTATCCGGATCTGTGTAACACTAATCTGTATTGCCATTGCATGTTCCAACAATATAACAGCGGAATCAATCTACAGTTATGAGTGAGCTGCGCACGATTCTAATTCCGGTGTTTTGCCCATAAATTTCGATCGACGTGTGGTTAGAGAACACCTACACTAAAACGGATTAAATATATTATGTGTCAATTAGAGGTGGTAGGTTCCTTCCGCTGTGGTCGGTCGACGGAAGCAGTGCCACGTGACTCACATGTTCACTGCGTGTGCGCACACCCATTGTCTACACACTCCATAAACTTCGCTCATTTATGCCATAAGCGAAACAAAAATAGGGACGTTATGTATTTGAATGAATAAGCCACATTATAATGAGCGACCATATTGTTTGGGGTCGAGCAGAATGGATCATTATTGGAAAATGATGTGAAACTGGTTATACACAACCTGTAAGGCCCCCAATTGTTTCTGGGATGAGTAATGAAAGATGGTTTATATTAGAACTGATGACTTGATTCACATCGATATCGCACGCAAACTCTGCTCCTAACGTATGTAATACGATACTGTATTGACCCGACAGTCAGTTTTTTTAAGTGACACGAGCAAAAGGATTACCTGGTGCTCCTCTGTTGAGGTTCTCCTCTCTTCTGTTGTGGGTGCGAACACCCGCAGCAACAGAGGAGTGACGAGTGCGTACCGACCTTTTGGGGATTAGGGTGTTGGAGATTTGGTGAGGGGAAGGATTGGAATAAAAAATCAAAGGATTTGTTATTTTAATTACTTAAATTTCAATCTAGAGAGGATGTATGGTTATTAAACCTATAAAGTTCCAATGTGACATTTCCGAATTATATGTAGAAAGGTATGAGGAAAAGTGTACTTGCTAATTTTATTTCGACACAACTGACATATATTATGTGAAGGTAACTATCGTAAGGAAACCTAGACTTAAAATTATTTCTGCTCGTACCTAATCATAAATAATAAGTACAGTGATTAATCCTCCACTCTTCTCCGTATGAGAGAGGCCTTGGAGCAGCAGTAGGCAATTGTAAGCTGATGAGGGGGTAGAAGATATTCTAGAAATGTTCAAGAACCTTTAGATTTAAAACATAGTGAAATTCTTACCTCTTAATGCAAAAATGACCTTTATTACCTACTTAGGTAAATCAAAAGACATTACGATTCTCATTATTATAGTTTATGATCCAGTCCCCTGAGTCGTGCACCCATCGCTTGTCGCAACAGAACACAAGACAGTACTTGACAAACTATCGGGCAATTTCCGGACGATAGATAATGATAACAACACGGAACACAAAGCAGCTGTTTTCATTAAACCTTACGTAATCCATATTCCAATGAGAAATTTTCCTTTAGGTACTATTTTATGGTGGAATGTGTACTGTGAGAAATAGAAATATTATTATGTAATCTATTATTTAACAGGCTCAATGCTAGCTAGTACTTACAGCATGTAACTTGGGACCGGTCGGGGTTGCGGGGTAAACGCAATACGGTCCCGCGGCTTCGACCTGGAGCACGTGTTGACCACCCCCTTTTATCGTTTTGATATGGGTTATTTTGTATTCTATTTTTTGCCATTTTCACAATGCTCATATTCTTGTAAATTTTTCTGATTACTTTCGTCGTGAGAGTCGTGTATCAAGCACTTAGCGAGTGCGTTGATGCCAACCTTTTCAGGGGGTTTTGGCGGTTTAGGGATTGGGCAGGGATTGGAGGAGAGAACCTCCTCACTCCTTACTCATACGATGAAACAGAACGCTGTAGTTATTGCACGTAAGTTGTCTGTGAGGCCGTGGTATCACTCCGGTCGAGTCGACGCATTCGTGCTTGCTGTGTTTACATGGTTGTTAGAGTTTTCTGTGATAGATATTGGCTTACATGAACTGCAGCGGTTTTGTGAGGTAGTGGCAGGCTTGTTTGAACAAAAGAAAATATGTTTTATAGTTGATACCGACAGATTGATACGCTAAATAAGAACGAAGAAGAGAATCGTCACTCAATTATGTAAAAAGCCAACAGGTTTTATAAATGGGTTGAATAAATTCAAGTGATTTATAACGCAAGCTTTATTGTAATATATACTTATTATTAATTGACAGGACTGAGATTGCAAAGCCGTGTCGATCTGGCTACTTAATGGAAACGACCACCTAGGTATTGGTATCTTCAATAAGGAGTGCCAAGAACCTAAATACTTAAAAGTTGATAGAATTATAGCCGGCCGCCCGCAACATCAGAGAAGTTACAAGCGCGTTGTCTGTTTTTTGAGGATGAGGAGTGAGGTTAGGGATTGGGGAGGCAAAGGATTGGGGCTCCAGAAACCTCACTCACATAAAATACTAAATAAATAGTGAAATGCTATAGAACTTTATCTCCAAATGAAAGTCAAAAGATACAACTTTCTTACTTGATTTTTCAAAGCTTAAAAGGAAAACCTTTTCTGATGTCTACGCCATGAAATCATTACTATTACTTGCTTGATTACTGAGTCGGTAGTACATTTACGATATAGGTACACACTCACTCTAGGCTCACATAACTTTCATAACAATGATTTAATGGCTTTGTAACTAAACAGCTTAAAGTAGTTATAATTTTCTGATAGCAACAATTACGCGTCGGTCTTGTTAGGTTTAAATGTGGGAGAACCATACCATACTGCTTGACCGCAGTGTCACCACGGCCGCACAGAACGCTGGCGAGAAACGACGCTTACGTTGTCTTTCACCATGGTTACCAGAAGACCAATCCTTAAACCCCTTACTCCCAAAATACCATCATTGCACATGCAACATGTCTGGTTTTATACATGTCTCTTTCCATGTGCGGACTGCTTACCATCAACTGATTCGTCATTACATAGACAGGAATCGCTCTGATTCAAGACTTAGGTATTACTATGATTCACACGATTTTCTCTCCTTTCTATTTAGTCTGTAGGGTCTTTACTGTGACGCATAGCCTAGTCGTCTACACGTTAATTAGACTACATTATCAGACAAACATTACGCACTGGTATTTGATTAACGCTTTGTTAAAAATTTTGTGAGCTAACCAGTTAGCAACTACAACCTTCCCGGACCACCGAAAACAAAAATAAAACGAGATTAATTACATATAAATATGTCATTAATACATTTATTGTCAAATGCTTATAATATCAATACATGGTTTTGTTTCAGTCATTTCATATTTACAATCTTTCGAAATAACCTTTGCCGAGTAATCGGTTTACGAGTACAAAAACTTTATTATGACTTTCTGTTACACAGCAGCTGCCTTTATAATACATACGTACATTTATCATACATTCATTGTCCACTCGTCTACTATGTAGACTTAATGTTCCCTACGCTACACAATAAGTATATGAGAGAGCTCTAGAGTTGATTAGTGAGAGCCAATAGACCGTTAAAGACGTTACACCACATAAACAGGCCCAGCACGTACCAGACGGCTGCACAAGGATCATGCTTCCAATAATTTAATACTGATCTTTACTCACGATCGAAACGTTATTAATAAGACCAACACTCACAATACCTTCCACTACCAGGACAATAGATACTTATTATTAAAATAAATCGCATCGACATCACACATTCTTCAAAACATTGACTTAAACATAATAGTAAATGCGCAATAAGCCTCACATGGTTAAAGCAATGTAGGTCTCTACAACTATCAAGTGATATTTGAAGTACACAAATTACAAGAACTGGTTAGTAAACGGAATAAATAACATGAAAACATAAGCTAAGTATATATGTATAGATGCAAGCTCATGTGGACGTAGACCGAGATCCAGCGGCTGCGCTCGTGATTCAAACGGATGCGACGAAACGAGAGCTGAGCACCGTTACCTGCGGTGGCCGCGTGCCGCGCGCCATACCGGCGCGGGGGATGCACCGACCTCATCCTCTCCCGCCGCCACCAAACGCCTGACTCATTACTGAGAGCCCACCAACTACTTGGACTTGACTTCCATTAGGCCGCGGCTTTAATCCGAGGCCATATAAATGCACTTCAGCCCTCGATTAATAATAATATTTCTACCTCTACGTTCCTAATAAGCAGTTACTCTAGTCGTCTAAGCAGTCTCAACGCGTTAAACTAAAAAATACACTTGATATCACAAAATGCAAACCGGAGCATACGAGTGCAACGACACGATTGGTGGCGTTTTCACGGACGGAACAGTCCTTTGTGTCCATTATAACCATACTGCAACCACAACGTGCGATAAGGTCAATCTTTATCACGCAGTAACTCTGATTTTGCACTTTTTTCGTTACCGTGGAAAGAAAAGTTTGGATTGTCCTTTTGTTTGTACGCTTTGTCCAATTTAGCAGAAGGAGGATCATTCTCTATCGGTAAGATCGGTGTAACGGTCGTCGTTATAGGGGTGGGGTTAATATTTTCACCCCGACAGAACTCTTGGAGCCAAAGTTCCGAGTTATACGAGGGCCCTTCCCCACCCAACTCTGCCGGCAGAATGTCCAGTGGTAGAGCATCATGAAGCGTTGACAGATTGTTTCCATGGAGCACGATACGTTCTCGCGTTTTCGCCTTAAAGTACGGCTTGATTACGGCGAGAGCGGTTTCCACATACCAAGGTTGTCCGATGAAGTGTATACTTTTGAAACGAACTGGCATGCAATCTTGTAAACAGTCAATCATCATTTTCAACACTTTTGCTTGTAAATTGCACGATTGTTTAAACGTGAATTCAGTCCAATCAACAATAATGACATATCCGTTAGCCTGGTTTTGAATATCGTCCAGGGTCCGTTCAATGGTGAGTAGGAGGGCTCTGAACACTGATAGTAGAGGACAGGCATGAGGTATCCAGTTGGAAGCAAACATGAGAAGCACACACCGGCCACGACGATCGCGCTGGGACAGCACGCCGGGCAGGCCATCGGCGAGCGCTCGCAGCACGCCTCCATCAGCCGTAGCCCACAGCTCTGGATGTTCGCGCCGGTACTGGTGATAGCTCACCAACAATTCAAAACTCTGTTGCACATCGTGTTTACGCGCGTACAAAAACCGCCGCAAGAAGTTGTCGTCCTGACATCTACTCTTGTCACGTAGGGCGAGGTTAAGGCTTTTGTCCACCGCATCCCGAAGGCCGTTAAGGGCCCGTTGCCTGTCACCGTCTGTAAGTCGTTTCCTTGCCGCTTCACAAAGGCGCTCATTTTGCATCTGATGCAGCTTCCAGTCGTATTCAGCGTACTCGTTCATGACTGGTTTTGGTGTGAGTCATGCGTCCTTTCACTGGTATAAAGCGTAGCTGCGCGCGCGCCGCCTGTAGCTCGGGGCCGACTGCGCACCGAGTTCGCGCCGCGCGCCGCCGCCATCGCTGCTCGTTCATTAAACCGTGTAATGCTCTGTTCACACGCGATAGCAACTTGTTCCACTTTACTTGACTGAGTGATTTTTCATGTTTCTGCCACAAGTGCATTTTTTGTATAATGAAAAACTTCCACTTTAATTTAAGTAGAATGATAACTGGTTTCAATTTTATCACGTATACAGTAAGTAGTATTCTTGTGTAGATAAATAGAACAAAAAATATATTGTACACCTTAACAGATTGTTTAGCTTTATACACTGATATTTTATGCATATCTATATATCTTAGAATTATTGGAGGAAGGAGTGGGATAGTTAACATAAACAGAAAAAAACGATTCTCCATATTTATGTCACAATGTTGTGTTGAGCCACTCCGAAATTATCTATCTTATCGATATTTAGTATTATCTCTCTATCATGCCTTCGTTGTTGTATTGATTAGATAAATATTATCGTGCTTACTTATTTTTGTTTTAGACATTAATGAAAACAATAAATTGTAATATATGGATATGAAACTACTTATAATATAATATAGTATTCTCCAAACCAAAGCTTAAAAACCATATTATCTTCTTTCAGAATAATAATAATTGTAAACAGAAAATGATCTTTACTTAATATCCTTCAAACTAAAAAACATAAATTTCCTTGCAAATTACGTATTTAATCTATTCTGATATAGCGGTAAACATGCAATTATTCACTTGATGGTAAGACGAATGCGTTGCCGGCCTGTTGGAGGTGTAGTAGGAAAAGGATTTGGTTTGGGATTGATTCCACATAGTTACATAATATATGTGTTTGAATAACATGTTTGATAAATAGTGTTTTTCCCTGTCCCAAGGTTTCAACTCTATGTGTCTTGTTAAAGGAGACTAAATCTTTAGTATTAACATAATAAAAAAAATTCAACTAGTTATTTATAACTAAAAATAACATAGATAATGTAAGAAAACGTATTGAAGAACTAACTCAAATTACAATGAAAAATTATATCAATGGCCCTTTTATACTAACTCTACTGGCCCTTTGTAAGAAAGGCAAGTAGACAAGTAAGCGGCGGCGGCGTTTGAACGAGGCATAACTTACCCAGCCAGAGCGAGTTATAAATAAAAAAAACTGAAGGTTGGCAGTATACCGGTCAATTGGCTGGCTGGTTTCTGCGATGACGTAGCGTCGTGCGCAAGAGACGCACACGCACGTGTGAGCGAGAAAGAAACATACTTTGTAACAATTATTTCTATGAAGCCTTATACGTAACGTTTAAACGGATGGCCGAAAATCGTATAACGTCCGTGCTTTGTTCACTTTGTCGTATAGCTAGTCGCCGTAAGAGGACACTCAGTGCCTTTACCGCATTTATAATTGATACAAGAATCTATCGCTTACTACAATGCAGTTTATATGTTGGTTTGCTTTCAATAGCTACCAGTTGTAGTTCAAGTAGCGAGTATCTACTCGCCTGAGCAAATCTATTCAAGTTATGTTAAAACGCATCATAAAATGCAACTACTGTTCGGATGCACGCACATAAATGTCTCCGGGATAATGATAACGTGTTCAAGGTATTTTTATTATTAAAATGTATTACCCAATTACACATAGGTACTTAATAGTTGTGATTTATCTTCGTAATATTATTACGATAGCTATACAATTTACAATGCAATTAGAGCGCATTGTTTCTCAATATGAAAGACATCAACGTCATCTCAACCCAAACAAGAAAGAAAGCGCGTAACAAGGGACTATCGGCTACCTTACGTATTTAAATATCACAAAGAAATGCTCATATCTTTGTTAAAACTTTGTAAAGTATACAATCTAATATGAACCTTATTTGCATATCGGAATAAAGATGCAAATGAATTTATAATATGATAGAAATTTATTAGAAATGCACCAAGAGAACGATGTATGAAGGCATTGTTTGTGAAGTTATTTGTGTAAGTAAGAGCCGATGATAAGTTAAGGGCAATGACTTTTTTAAAATTAACCGTGTCGATGCATCAGTGGTCGTTGCCCCATGCAATGAGTCGGCTAGGCTTGCCGGCCACACTGCGCAAGGTAAAAATAGACACTTCGTCTTAAGATGTACTGATCCTGACTCGCATGGATAATATGGGAGTCGGTACACTGCACCCACACTACACGACCTACCGAGAATTTACTACAATTGCAAATAGTGTTTTTAAATTTAAATAAAGAACTTTAAGAACAACCCCCTGACAGTTACATTTTTTTAATTAAATAAAATAGTTAATACAAGGCTTTATCTCTTAAAAAATATATACAGGCAGTGTGTAAGAAAAATCGATTAATACAGCTCCTAACAAGAGTTACATAAACGTTTAAAAGGAAGGCTAGCAGAGCAATTGAAAAAACAATTGCTAGTATTACTACGAAATAAAAAAAGTTAATAGTTCAATCAAGAATACAATAGTGGGATAACGTATTGATAAATCAGCCGTACTCAGAGTCATTTATTTAAAATGATTAGTTAGCCCAATCCCAATCATTACTTTTCAAAACAATATCGTCATTTTGTGAAAGATTAAGAAAGATCAAGAAGTAATCTTGTTGATAACTAAACCTATTCATAACGTATCTGAGTACATACAGTAGTTATTTTCTTTTCTACTTCGGATAAACGACTATCCTTTCTTAAACCAGTTTTTTATTTAGGGATTTTTTTTCTCACATAGGATAACTCAATCATGACTTTTACAAAACGTTTTATTTGCACTTAGCTTATTTGTTATATTAGAATGTTTATTACACAAACAGTTTTTTTTTAATATCTTCCAGGGTCACTATGGTAGTATCAGAACTCTGAAAGAGCAGGCATGAGATATCTAGTTGGAAACGAGCAAACGGAGCGTAGGGTTCCAACAAATTCTTCTGAGCAGGGTAAGGAACTGGGGGGTGTTTAGTCAGCAAGAGTCTGACCCCTCCCACGCCGACCTGGGTGGGAGAAATCATTTGATGATTTTCCTCTCACAAAAAAAGACCACCTCAGCTAAGAGAAGCCCAATAGGGCTGATGAAGCCGACTTTGCGGGTCAAGCGAATTATATGCCGCGGCCTAGGCTTGAAGCAGGAGAAGAAACGGGATGGAGAAGGAACAGTGGGGTCAATAAGGCTCTGACACTCGGCTCTCACCCAGCCCAGGACAAAAGAAGTCACATGATGAATTCCTCTCTACACAAAAAAAGAATCGCACTGGCAAAGCATACACAGCATGGACTGGCGCTCGCATCAATCCTCTGTCTGGTACTGGTGATAGCTCATCAACAATACCCAAACCTTTGTTGACGCAAGTCATTTTCATATCATAGTGATCACAAAAATCCGTGCTCAAAAGCAACTTTGAGCAACGCGCGAAATATTGACATGTTAATATATTATTGTGCAATACATATATTGTTCATACTCATCGGTTTACACATTATTTACACACCTTTTTAAACGAATGTTTGTGTGTAACAATGTAATGATATTATTATTTCATCATCATATACTCTAATTTCCATATTTCCTTTTTTAACTACTCGATGAAAATCTCCTTGTAGATACTTCCTTCAAGAATCGGGTAGTTTCCTAGGTCGAAAATAAGTTATTTTGATTTTGCAATACCTACAATTGTTAAAATATAATCATACCAAACATACCTTTGCTACTTTCATTTATTGATTTGATGATATAGTTAATTTTAGAATATTTCTAGCTAATCTTTCTAATCAAACTATTTGACCCATGAAGGAAACATCCAGATCCCGGGATTTTCCCTCTATGACCTTAAAGCATAGTATGACGTGCTATGTTGCTATTTATTACAAAATTCATAGAAAAGTATTGTTTTTGACATTTCAATAAAAGCACTAAAAACTAGTTGGAAACTACCGGATTGGGGGCAACGAGGGGGCTAAAATCACTGCGGTCTTTCTCCTCTGCGCATTGCCGTGACCCGTGTTGCCCTTGCGGCTTGCGGGTTTACCGCACTTTCAGATTTACCCGGATTATCCCCTTCGACCTTGCTTACGTCACTCTACTATTTATACTACGCCGTTGATATTTGTAAAACTAACGAATTTGGCCTTGACCTTATTCAGTACCTAGTTGTAAATTAAGAATAGCGGCGAGTAAGGGTAGCTCACCGCCTGACCAGAACGAGACCTGCCTGACCTGGCCTGCGGCCCTGCAGGGCTGATGTTCAGCCGGGGTTGCGGGGCAAGCGCATTGAGGTGCCGCGACCACGGTCGAAGCAAGAGAAGGAACGGGGTGTTATAGTCAGTAAGAGTCTGACACTCTATCTCGCCTTACCCTGGGCGGGAGTAGTCATTTGATGATTTTCGCCTTACGAAAAAAAAAGTTGTAAATTAAGATTAGGTAGCATTATTTTGTTAACTGTTGTTCTTACCAGAGACATTAAAATATTTATTGAATTTGCCGAATTAGTCTTGTGAAGCTCTACTAAGTAGTTTCAAGCCACAGCCTTATTTAATATGCGTGAGTAAGTTGTTATTTTCAATAAATAGAAGTCTTACTATTTAAGATAGTTAAAAACCAATTTAGTTCTAAAAAGCAGTTAAAAGGACTAGGTAAAGTAAGCGTTGAATAAGTTTCTACGGCGGTAAGTATCGATCTTTATTTATCTCTTTTGTAAGTAGATCTTGTCTTCTGGTTTACAGCAGTCGCAGTAGGATGGGCAAGCACAACGTACCGCAGCTTCAGTTCAGAACAATGTGGTTTTAAGTTAGTAAGAGTTTGACATATCCTCTCCTCCGAATGCGAGAGAAGTTATTAGATGGTTTCAACACCCATAAAATAAATAAAAAAAACCCATAAAATAAATAAATGTCTTCTGGGAGGTTGTTGAAGCTGGCCGACAACCGGAACAAGTTACTTTAAAATCGAATGTTATCATTACAATAATTAAATTTGCAAGTAATAACGTTG